AGATTCAGAATCAAAGCAGTCTTTGTCATATTGCAGACAACGAGAGCATTTGAGATGAAACTCTGTGTGTGTGTGTGTGTGTGTGTGTGTGTGTGTGTGTGTGTGTGTGTGTGTGTGTGTGTGTGTCTCCATGTGATTTTCCCCCCAACAGCCCCAATTCCACCCAGATGAATAGATTTAGAATCAAAGCAGTCTTTGTCGTATTGCAGACAACGAGAGCATTTGAGATGAGACAGTCACAATCCAACATATTAAGGCAATTTTATAATTAGACAGTTTTTGGCTGTCCTTGGGGTACCCCTTCCATTGTTCTTCCAGCTGTGTGTGTATGTGAGTGTGTTCAAGGTAAGTCGGATAACACAAGCTACACAACTACAGTAGCGTTTTTTTTTTTTCCCGGACATCCGGACCTGTTCTTCCATAACCGGACCGTCCGGGTCCGTATGTCCGGTTGTCCGGATCGATGTCCGGTTTACCGGACGTCCGGATTAATCCAGACACGGGTCCGGGCCTGGTGTCCGGTGTCTAGATGTCCGGGTCCGGGGCAACCATGATATGGGGTGGTCGCAGTGTGATGAGAACTATCTGGTGGTTGATTGATGCTGAGGTGGAACGGCGAGATAATGCTGGTTGTGCGGATGTAGTGACTGGTCATCGCAATCGCCATCAGGTCATCTGGTGAGAATATCTGTGGCTGGGGGCAGCTATATCGAGGTATGTTGCTCTTAACCTTATCTACCCTCTTCATCACTTCTTACCGTGAGGTTGTGAGTTCCTTCTTGAGAGTCCTCTTATGTGAGGTGCCGTGTGCGCTCAACCTTGAGAGTCGGCATTGTTCACGTGGAGCATCTGGAAGGAGAGGGCGGTGCTTTCTGAAGGGCCCTGGATGGAGCACTGGGTCACGGTCACCATGCCAACCCACCGGCAGTAGAGCACGCATGCTTTGCTGCTTTGTCCTTGTCTGCTTGCTGCGCTCATAGAAGGGGTACTGAAGGGCAGGCCAGCCCTATGGGAGAGACTAGTGTCGGGCGTTTATAAATAAACACCGGCTTGGGAAACCATTGGCTGTGATCGTCGTCCTGCTACGACATAAAATAACTCCTGATGACACTTGGGGGCGGTCGTTAAATTGCCTCTGGATCAGCCAATTGGTGTAAGGCTCGCTGCACGTGAGGGTAAACGGAGTGCAGGGCTGGCCAGCTCAGCAGCTACTCGGGGCACAGGGGTGGGCCGTGTGCACACCTTTAGTCATGCACGCCAAACCGGATTGCTCAGGGACGCTGACGTCAAGTGACAATCAAGGGGAATTGGGGAAGGGGTAGATTCCAGGTGATAAGTTTGAGTAAGATCCCATGCTGCAAACAGACCCAACAAATGATGTTATTTTTATTTTGATTAGTTAGATGTACTGCCATTGACATCTGACAGACAACATAGTTAGAACTGATTCTGTTCATTGTGCTTTCTGTTTGCGGGCTAGTCAAAGTAGAATAGCATTATTTGTAGGAATCTGAACTTACCTGCTGGACTTGAATGTTTAGTCTCTAATAGAGCTGCCGATTATTTATATCGGTCTGTACATGTCGCTGCGGTAGGCATCCATTGCGTGTCCTAGTGTGAACGGTGTGCAGTTTTGTAGCATATGAGCGATAGGGACACCACTAGTGAGGACGATCGGATCTTACGATCGGCTAGACGCCCGATTGCCCATTTGGCATTAGAACCAGAGGGCGACAGATATTTGTTCCGCCAGCTTAGGGAGAGGCAGAAGCAGCAGAGGAGAGCTAGAGCAGCTGAGGCTAGCAGGGTGCTAGTAAGCGAAGCCGCAACTTCGGAAGCCATGGCCACTTCTGCACAGCAGACTTCTCAGGCTAGTAGTTCAGGATCTGTAGGGTCAACGGTCGTGCAGACCCAGAGTCAGTCGGCTGGAGTTATGGCAAGCCAGCCATTGGTGTTGTCACCCGAGGAGATCGCCATACAACATGCTGCCCTGCAAGAGGCACAACTACAGAAGGCTTTACGAGAGATTAAGGCAGAAAAAGAAAGAATGATTAGAAGAAGAGCCAGGTTGCAGCGGCGACAAGCGGACACTAGTGAGTTAGAGGAGATGGACCCACCAGAGCTGGATGATCTAGTGAGGGCCCTGAGGTCGGTCTTGTTAGGAGTAGTAGAGATGCAAGACCAGCAGACAACAATCTTACAGGACATCCAACAGAGTCTGGCCGTCTTGGTCGGATGAGCGCAGGCAACACCATCACTGTCCGGGCCTGGTGCCTGACCCGTTGTACATCCTCCTCCTTTTGTTCCACCGGTGACTTGGGTATCCCCATATACCGCTCTAGTATCGGTTCAGCCTGTCTCCCTGGGTATGCCTTTAGCAGGGGGGCTCTCAGCAAGTCCTAGTTTACAGGTTCCTATACAGACAGTGTTTACCCAACCTCCGTCGCAGGTTGTTGTAAGCGTGCAGCCTGCTGTCTCGCAGCCTGTACAGCCGCAGGGTACACAGCCCCTGCAGTCAGTGCAGCAGCCTGTATCACAGGGTCCACAGCCCGGAGTGATGCAGGGACCGGGACAAAGTCAGTGGGTGCCGAAGACGGCCATCGCCGCTCCGAAACCCTGTACAAGGGATAAGAGGGGCGAAGACCTCGACACTTGGTTGAGGGCAGTGTCGGTCTATGTCAAGTGCAAACTTACCTTGCCGCACGAGGAAGTGCTTGTGGCTGCATCCTACCTAGAGGGTAGTGCAACAAGATGGTTGAGTGGTTTAGTGCAGTTGCAGGAATACGGTCATGACTTCCACGCTTGGGCAGCCCACCAGAAACTGGAGGACTTTCTCAAGATGTTGGAAGATAGGTGGCACGATCCTCAGGAGGCCCAAAAGCCCACTGACGCGATCTTGACACTGTACATGAGGCAGTTCAAGTCAGTAAGAGAGGCCACTGACGTTGTAGAGCGTCTGATCTGTGTCCCTGGGGTGCGCTATGACCCCCAGGTCTTACTCACCTCCTACCTGAGATGCTTTCCCATGCCTCTCAGGAATCAGTTGGCAGGTGAGGCCAACATCAATATGCACAACTTTCCTTCGTTCGGTAAGAAGGCCCTAGACCTTGAGGCAAAGATAGGGCATGGACATAATCCCATGACGGATGGTAGGAAGAAGAAACTGCCTCCCAACTCGAAGGCGAAGGGTCGCATAATGTTTGTCGATAAGGATGGTTCAACCATCGAGTTAGGTGACAACTTCCAGGAGGGAGTAGGTTCAGAGGCTGGCAGCGTAGAGGCTTCAGGGGGTGGAGTAGTCGCTGCCGTAGCACAGAAAGGTAAGGCGACCGATAGACGCCGTAGAGGTTCCTGGTCAAGGAGTCAAGTTGACCCCAATGCTTCTCCATGGGACAAAGCGGGTCTCACTGAGGACGTGTGGAGAGATTGACACAAACTTGTATCCGTTGTGGCCAATATGGCCATAACCAATTCAAGTACCGAAACAAGAAGGTGACCGATCCCGCCTACGATGGGGCAGGCGTTGGGATCCTCCACTCTCGTTGGTAGCAATGTGGCTAGCACTTCTGGCACTGCTCCGGGAAACACGTTGGGCCAGTAGGAATAGTAGCTGTTCCTGCTAGGGTCGAGGTGGTAGACACACCCTCACCATCTCGAAAGATGGCCCAAGCTACTGACTCCATCGTCGTCCCGCAAACATGTTCAGACCCATCGAGCTTCTGTTTGATGAATGTGTTTGAGTCCTTAGAGGAGCTAGAGGAGGAGTGGTCTAGATCAGACCCGCTAGCTTCTTGGACGGCATTGGTCAAAACCCCTAAGGGTGAGATGTTCGTCAGCGAGGTGGTCATTGGCGGCCGCAAGGCTGGGGCCTATTATGACACTTGCTCGACACGGAACTTCATTAGTCGCTCGTGCGTTGAGAGGCTGCGCTTACAGGGGCAAGTGCAGCGCCTGAGTCGACATGTGGAGTTGACCTGTGCCAACAAACAGCCCATGGTAGTCAATGACTACCTCCAGGATGTTGAGTGTTGTTTTCCGTACGCAGGAGGGGAACTGAGACATCGTGTCTCGTTCCGAGTGAGCGATGAACTTCCCATGGATATCTTGTTAGGTATGTACTACCTCTCTGTGGCACAGCCCCAGTTTGACTTGGACCGAAAAGTGGTCAAACACACTTTGCCAGGTGGAGGGACTGCCAAATTACGTAAGTTCAAAGCTAGTAGTCTGATCGAGTCCTATGGATGCATGTGTGCGGCCGAGTTCTATAATTATTATAAGCAAAATCAGGAGGAGGGTATGTATCTAGTTTATGTCTCTACTGCAGGCGAGCCGGTGAAAATGTCGGCGGAGATAGAGGGAGTAGTTGCTAAATACCCTGATCTATTTGAAGAGCCGACATGGGTTGTTGAGAGGGAGGTCGTCCACGCGATAGAGATGATCCCAGGGTCTAGCATTCCAAAGGGAATGATCTATCGGATGTCTCCAAGCGAGCTTGATGAGCTTTGCCAGCAACTCAAGGAACTCATAGAAAAGGGTTGGATCCGGCCGAGTGTTTCTCCTTATGGTTCTCCAGTCCTATTTGTACCCAAGAAGAAGGAAGGAACACTTAGGATGTGCATTCACTATAGGGGCCTCAATGCCATCACTGTCAAGAACAGAGAGCCCCTACCGCGAATCGATGACTTGCTAGATAGAGTGCAAGGGTGTCGGAACTTCAGTAAGATAGATCTGAAGTCCGGGTACCATCAGATTGCAATCCGGCCCGAGGATCGACACAAAACCGCCTTCCAGACCAGGTACGGTCTGTACGAGTTTGTGGTGATGCCTTTCGGCCTTTGCAATGTTCCTGGCACCTTTCAGCACGCTATGAATCGGATATTTCATGACTATTTGGATAAGTTTGTCATCGTGTACCTCGATGACATACTTATTTTTAGTAAGACTGTCGAGGAGCACGTTGCGCTCTTGGACAAAGTCCTTAGTCTTCTGCGACAGCACAAGTTCAAGATCAACGGTGAGAAGTGCGAGTTTGGCCGCACCCGTGTCTTGTACTTGGGTCATGAGATTTTCGCGGAGGGACTAAAGCCCGATGACGCGAAGGTGGCCAGCATTCGTGACTGCCCGCGTCCTCAGTCTGTGAATGAGATGAGGTCTTTCTTAGGGATGACTGGCTACTATCGCAACTTCGTGAAGAACTATAGCATAGTTGGCGCCCCTTTGACTGACCTCACTCGCCTTGACACCCCATGGGAGTGGACAGACAGATGTGAGGCTGCTTTCAGACAGCTGAAGCATGCGTTGACGCATCATGAGGTCTTGAAACTTCCTGATCCTGACAAACCATTTTTAGTAACTACGGATGCTAGCCAATATGGCATTGGCGCCGTACCTGCTGTGCAAAAAGTTGAGGCCGGTAGAGTACATGTCCAAAAAGATGCCCTCTCAGAAGTTGGCTAAGTCCACCTATGAGAAGGAGCTCTATGCGATTTACAAGGCACTCACCCATTGGATGCACTATCTCCTTGGGAGGTTCCTCTACGTCAGGACTGATCATCAGACCCTGAAGTGGATGAGAACCCAACTTGTGCTCTCAGACGCTCTGAAGCGTTGGATTGAAGTCATAGAGCAGTATGACTTCGAACCCCAATACATCAAGGGCGTGTACAACAAGGTTGCTGATGCGTTGTCGCGTAGACCTGATTTCTCAGGTGCGTTGATTACTGAGTTCAATCTTACGGACGATGTTACTCGCTCCTTGGTGGAAGCCTATCGCGAGGACCAGTTCATGTCTGAGATCATACGCAGACTTGAAGCGAAGGATGTGAAGACTTATGTCGAGTTTGAGTTGGTCAACAGCTTGCTGTTCCTTGAGAAGGCAGGGAGTAAACGGTTGTGTCCCAAATAAAGAGTCTTTGCGTAGTTTATTTTTAGGTGAGTTTCATGATGCCACTGGCCATTTTGGCTATAAAAAGACAGCAGCCAATCTGCTGCAGCGGTTCTGGTGGCCCACGGTGATGAGAGATGCCCAGCTGTACGTGGAGACTTGCCAGGTCTGTCAGAGGGACAAGTCACGTACTCAGGCTCCTCTTGGTCTCCTGAAGCCCCTTCCAATTCTGGAAAGGCCTGGTGAGAGTTTGTCCATCGACTTCATGGATACACTGGTCACCAGCAAGAGCGGGATGAGACATATCTTTGTCATCGTGGATAGATTTAGTAAGTATGCTAGGTTGATAGCCATGCCAGAGACTGCAAGGACCGAGTACGTAATCAGACTTTTCAAGGAACACTAGGTCAGGGATTTGGTCTGCCTAAGTCCATCGTGAATGACAGGGATGTCCAATTCACCAGTGAGTTGTGGAAGGTCGCTGCTGCCGAACAGGGAACACAGTTGCAGATGACCTCTGGGAATCACCTAGAGGCCGATGGCCAAGCCGAGCAACTGAACCGCGCTATACAACACCTGCTGCGGCATTACATCAAGCCCAATCAGGTGGACTGGGATGAGAAGCTTGCTCTCATCGCCAGCCTGTACAATAACGCTGTACACAGCGCCACCGGGGTGAGCCCAAACAACTTACTACTGACCTTCAAACCTAGACTGCCCTTAGATTTTCTCTTTCCTGAGAACCAACCAACTGCTGCACCGGGTACCTTAGAATTCGCTGATCGTTACGAACAGAAGATGCAGCAGGCAATAGAACAGATGCAAAAGGCACACGCGGAAATGATAGAATCTGAAAACAGATGCTGCCGCCCATCTACATTCCAGGTTGGGAACAGAGTCTGGGTTAAGTCCTCAAAATTGGGACAGGAGCACGGGATATCCCGCAAGCTCATGCCTCAATACTTTGGACGATGGGAGGTCTTGATAGAGTCGGGACGGATCATGATGGGCCTTCTTACGTAATCCGGATCCCTGGTCATCTCCGCACATATCCTATCTTTCACGCCTCTAAGCTTGCACCCTTCAAGGAAATAGACGAGTTTCCTTCTCGTCGCTCAATGCTGCCCCCAACCATGGACAGAGAGGTGGACATCGATGACATCGTGGATCACAGGGAGCTGCCAGCGCCAAGACCGACCGGCAGGGGACGTCCTCCGAAACCGAAGCTGCAGTATCGAGTTCGGGTCCGGCATCATACTAATCCAAAGGAAGACCGATGGTTCACCAGGGAGGAACTCATGCAGACCGTTCCTCAGGTTGTAGCCCAATACGAGAAATCTCTGCAGAAGGGAAAGCGCCCGATGATTGAAGACTGAGCTTCTCATAGGATTGTTGGAGGAGGGAATGTGAGGCCACAACCTTGATGAGCCCCTTTCAGGCCCTGTCAAGCAGCACGTCGGCCGCCCTAAGTGAAGGCACACTCGACGAGGACTTGAGGGCCTTGTTTCGGCCACCACGCAACTAAGGAAATTCAGGCAGTTGCGCAGCGCCAGTTGGTTGAAAGAACGCAGGCCCTGGGCCGCCTGTTTGCATGTATCGAAGGCAGGCCCTGGGCTGGATACGGGATGTGGTCCAAACACACGCCGAAGGCAGTTGGGAACAAGCAACCACCTCAGGCCCTGGGCCTGATTTGTTTCGGACTGGGCCTCAGCCTACCGGGGCCTACCGGAAGCTTCTTGGGAAAGGCCCAGCGCAGCCTGGGACAGAACACAGGCAGGCCACTTCCATATAGCAAAGGGCCTGCCTCCTCATTGGACATTCAGGTGCTGGCTGCATGCTGCGCAAGCGCTGCTGCGTTGAAGCTGGCCAGCGCTCACGCATTCACGGGCGAGCTGGAAGGAGCAGGCAGCCATAGCTGAGCTGCGTATGTGACGCGCAACATCACGCCCTGCGCTGTTTTCCGTTCTGAGTGCTAAAGGTGCGGAAGGGAGACCCCGAAAAACAGCAAGATGGGGTGTGCCAAGGATTTTTGGGAAATTGAGTGTGGGGACACAGACAAAACTGAAATCCCCCGTGTTGGTCTGATGAAGTGAGCGATTGGGCGGATTTCGGCGCGCGCGGAATTTGCGACGCAGGGAAGTTTTGAATTCAATCTAAAAAGTATTGTCGGACTTCCCACCGGGCCACGGCTCGTCGTTTGGAGTGGGAGGGAGTGGGCACGTGTTTAGCGTCCCATTTTCGCACTATCTCCCGACGCCGCACGCTACACAATTCTGAATCTGACGTGGACGGTCTCAATCGGGTGGCCCTTTCCTTGTGCTCGTCCTCGTTCCACGTTCGGTAATGGAACCCCTTCGATTGGTAGTGATCGGGACATTGGCAATCACTACACAAAGTGTTAGGCCAATGGGGTGCCACTGTCGACCACGGGATGACGATCAACTTGTTAAAGGGTAGTAGTAGTGAGTATGGTCGACCACGGGATGACGATCAACTCGTTAAAGGGTAGTAGCAGTGAGTATGGCGGAAAGTGCGTATCCACAATGACAAACCCAGCGCCTACGAACCCAAAACACCGATTTTCAGGAGGGAAACAGTACTGCCCACCGATCTTTGCGACGGCTTCTCGTATGTCCCACTCACAGATTCGCGTCCGGTCCTCGTTATACGAGAAGGGGCGAAGAGGGGTTACGGGATAGTCGGATTGAGCCCGTTAGTCCACATGGCAGACAATCAGGAATATCTTAACTGTTAATCGCGTGCATGCAATCCCATCAATCCAATCGGAAAGGCCAGACACGAGAAACAGAGGGTTCTGAGAAAGAGAAAGAAAAGTTCATGTGTGGCGAGACACGACCATTATTTTTGTACTTGGATCATGCATCGCATACTCGCAACTTTCCTTCAAAAATCACAAATCAAAGCATTCTTGCATTTCCAAATCCCAACAACATTGCCCCTACTATCGACTCGCCCTAATCAAGACGGGTTTCGTACCCGTTCATTCTCATCTCCCATGCATACATTCACTGTGGAAGGTGCGAAAATGACAATCATGCAATTTCCCAACAAGGTGGCCTTAAGGGAAGAATCTTTAGCGGTCGATACACGCGCATCCACCGTTCACAAGACAAAATCCACTAGTTCGGGGGACTACCCAGGAAACTAATGGAAGAGTTCCGGAGGAAGCCAATCCAACACAGTCATCACACTCATTCCATCACACGCCAACTTTTGACTTATTACGCAGAACCATCCATGCAAGGAAGAAGGAGAAGGAGAACTGCGACAAAAACAGACAGGGATATCCAGATCAGAGGGAAGAGTTATACTGAGATGGACAGAGAAAAAGAAAGTTTGGCTTTACCGCCACAAGGTCACACCAAAGAAGAGATTCGTAACCAAGAGGGCGTACTCGCCATTGAATTCCAGCATGGCCCCCGACCAGTCATACACTCAACTCAGATTACTCGTCCGCATTCTGACGCCGACGATCCGACCGTCGCGCATCATCCTCCACCACTGCGAGCGTCACCGCACCAACTTAGTCTCGATGTGGCTTGCCCGGATCCCACAATCCGTCGTGGCGATCTAGCGCACCGCCAGCCAGTCTACAGTCGGCTCGTCAGGACTTTCCGACTCGCATCGTACACATCACCTAGCCACTACTTCCCAGAAGTTGGCCGATGAGTTGAGAGAGAGTTTTGCAGGGGCGCCGACAGAATTTATAGTTGGGAGAAGGGAGAGAGATGCGGAGAAGGGTGAAGGGTGAGGCAGAGGAGGGCATAGGAGAGTTTGCAAGTAGCCGCCCATCGAAAGTCATGTTGATCCTCCTAACTCGACCTCAACCAATCAGAATCGTCGTGCAGTACGAACTTACACGGCGCTTCTCCTTGGTTAGATGGGGAGGGAGGATCGACTGGGTTTTCGAGCGCGGATTTTTAGAGCGAGAAGAAGAGGAGCGCGAAGGATAGCACGAAACAGGTCCAAGATTCAGATGATCAAGAAGAAGAAAGAAAAAAGGCGCGCGCAGAGAAAGGGGAGGGAAAAGCAGTTACGGGGGGCGGGTGCGAGAAAGCGTATGCGCGCGAAGAAGAATGGTGAGAGGAACGCAAGGGAGGAAGGAGGAGGGAGCTTGCTCGCATGGCGTCGGTCGGCAAGAGAGAAATGGGCACCAAAACAGTTGCAGTTTTTCCCAATCCTATGCTAATTCAAAAATTGAAAACATAGCATCCGCGCGCAAAACAGGCGCGGGAAAGAAAATCTTCCGTCGATCCATATTCGTACAAGAATTTCCCAGAGTCTTCAAGGTCGAGGCCAAGAACATTCGCGCGCGGAAGGTCGTGCGGTATTCCGATAATTCCGAGATTTCTAACTGCCAAATGCGCTCGCTAAGGCGCGCAAAATTCCCATGCATTTTCAATTAAACAAAAGAAAGAAAGGAGCTGACAGATTTTCGCAAGGTACGTTGAATCGGACATGGACAGCAAGGGGAGGGGAGGGGGGGGGGTCTCGGGGTCGAACTTTACACATCTGGATGCAGAGAAACACGGGAAAAAGAAAGGGGTCCGGAAGATGGCGCAGGTTCGGAAACTAGTACGTCACACGCTGCTGTGAGTTGGGTGTGGCGCAGGGTG